TCAAGATGATAAATTGAATTAAGTGAAAAATGATAACATTACCAGATTAACGCATTCACCTCCATATTCGTCAACGATGCTATATCGCCGCTGACGACCCGTCAATTCTTGTTTGACAAGATCAGCCTTAGTTCCAACCACTAAAATCGGTACACTTGCATGTCTTTCTCCGATCTGTAATTCAAAATCGTAATCTAAACAGGCCGATAATTTTGCTTCATTTTTTCAATGCATTTTCATAACTTGTGATGTTAGCCTAAATGTTATGTTTACATACCATTTGTACTATTAAAACTCATGGAACTTCCACTCATCCAGCTTCCTGACCCATTCCCACTTCCTGTACCCCAATTTGCATTAGCAACGTTATTTACTCTCTCACTCTCTTTGTAAGCTTCTGAGTAAATCACTTCGGCAATCCATTTCCAAAGATTATGATAAGATTTTCGATTGCTGACATCATGCACCAAAATTATTCCATTAATTTGATGGTAAAACATATTCCGGGAAGATTTATGTTTCGACGTTCCTCCAACGTCAATGAATTCCACAAAGTATGTTTTGTTATTACGAGAATGCGTATGCATCTATATTTATGGAGAATCAATCGTGAATGTGTCAAAAAATTGGGGGTTGCTAATTAAATCGAAGGTGTAAAATCTACCTTCACATCAACAGAACAACCGATCGTCCAGGTTGGGTGTCGTAGTGCTTCATTATGACAGAGTATGTGAACCAAGCTAGTTTTCCCCTATATACGAGTAAATTTAGTAACTCCATTTTGTTTTATGCGGATCCTACTAAATTCCGAAAATGCAAATAACAAAGCAATTACCACACCAGAATCCCCTACAACTACAAGGCGTATTTTGTCGTAGTGTTCCATTAATATTCCAATAAAGTGCTTTTTTCAATAATTCACCAAGTTTATCGTCGCGTGAGCTCACGTGATAATTCTAAGAATTACGATTTTCACGTGGTTGCATTAAACTTCTTATCGTTATCGTTGATTTTTCATTTATTGTCCTTGTAACACAAATGAAAATAATAAAATTCTATTTTTACCATGGTAATTCTCGATGATACGTACTCAGTTATTGGCCGCGTACGTAGCAGCCAATACAGCAATAACTAAAAATTAACCATCAAAGATTTTTGGAAAAGATTTGTTAGATGTTTTTGGCCGTGATAGCGGCAGACTAGCATCTAACAGATTTTTGAAATTATTGATTGATGTAGGATAATATTATAAATTCATTATATAATTATTATATAACATAAATAAAAATTGAATTGTAACTTCAATATCTTTACTAAGATTTAACGTTATATAGAGTCGCATAAATATTGAATACATATACGTATTTCGAAATTTTCTACGTATATTCATAATCTCTCGACTAAGTCGATCTTTTAAAATTGGTAGACCTAATCGTTAAGTCGATTTTACCAACTAATCGGCTACGATCACTAAATATTCGGATATTTAAAAGGATTGAATAAATAACTTTTTGACCCGATCTCCATTGTAAAATATCAATTTTACAGATTAAATTTTTAGTACGTATAAATTCAAAAAAGAAAAAAATTTTGATTAACTTGCTTAATCTAATCTAAAGATTGATAAAAAAATTTGATTTTGTTTAGTGTTAGATGTTTAGATCTAGTGTGACGAAGCATTTTATCAGTTATATAACGACAATTTGGCTTCCATCAACAGTGATGGATTTCAATTGCTGAATTGAACACTTTTTTACACTAAATTAATGTTTCGATCATTCGTTGTAATAGCTGGTAGAAGTAGGTGTGGATGTAGAATCGGTAGTAATATAATTAATGTGAGTATCAAATTTTGGCCTTTCAAGATTTATGTCCTTTATTAATTTTTATTCGTTTTGATAGTTGCGTACATATAGTACTACAACTCAACTTTTGACTCGAACTAAAACCATGACTGAACAGAAGGTATAGTAAAACCTCTAATGCACCGCCATAAATTGCATGTTCTATGCGTACCTTCTTTAAGTGCTCTCTTTAGTCAAGTCTTTAGCTTACAAGCACCTTAAAAAATGTATGCTCTAAAATTTTTCAAATTGGCATTTAGGGACTGTATGTTGCATAGATAACATATGCGAATTGCAAATTTTTTTAAAACTCAAATATCATATTAATATTATTTAAAATAATTAGGTTACGCATGCCGACTCAGAAACAGCACCAATAACAACTCAACTACTCGCTAAACAAGCTAAATACACTATTAACACATATGTTCGGCCACCAATTATTTTTTCGCATGGTAAAGGTTGTCATGTTTATGATTTAGCAAATAGGGATTATCTTGATTTCTCAGCTGGCATAGCAGTAAATGCTTTGGGTCATTCCGACCCTGAGGTGGCACGAGTAGTTTATGACCAAGCGCTAAAGCTTGTTCATTTGAGTAATTTATATAATAATGAATATGCAGGAGAACTTGCAGAGTTATTGGTTGAATCAACACGTAGTGGAGGTGGATTCGAAGCTTCAAAAATTTTTTTCACAAATTCTGGTACTGAAGCGAACGAAGGTGCTTTGAAATTTGCAAGAAAGTGGGGGAAATATGTTGGTAAAAAAAATAATGAAGAAATGAACATGAATAAGTATGGTGTTATATCATTTTCAAATGCTTTTCATGGCAGATCTTTTGGATCGTTGTCAGCCACACCTTCCCCTAAATATCAAAGTCCATTCACGCCAATGGTACCAGGATTTGTAACAATACCATATAATGATATTAGTAAGATTAATGAGTACGTGAACGAAGGTACTTGTGCTGTAATTGTTGAACCTCTTCAAGGCGAAGGTGGAGTTTGGGAGGCCACCGTTCCATTTATTGAGGCTTTGAGAAAACGATGTGATGAAGTTGAAGCTTTGCTGATCTTTGATGAAATTCAGGTAAGCGATCATAAGTTTGTTTTAACAAATAAACTTTTAGTTGCAGAAAATTTTAATCATTTTTTTTTATCTAAATTTATCAAGTGTGGTCTTGGTCGTACTGGAAAACTATGGGCACATCAAAATTATCCAAAGTCTTGTCACCCAGATATTTTAACATTGGCTAAACCATTAGCTAATGGAATTCCGATTGGCGCTATTATGACTACACAACGTGTTGCTGATATAATTACGATCGGTAACAATTCTTTTTTTTTTTTTTTTTTGTGATCAATAATGATCATTTAATAATCAGTTAATAACTTGTTCATTTTTTAGGTGATCACGGTACAACTTTTGGTGGTAATCCCTTAGCGTGTCGAGCAGCTCTTTCAGTAGTCTCACGTATAAATACTCCCGAATTGTTAACAAATGTTAATAATGTTGGTTCCTATTTAAAATCATCATTTGAAAAACTAATAACTAAATATCCATCGCTCATAACAACTGTACGTGGACGAGGACTTATACTTGGAATACAATTTACTAAGGATCCAAGTAGGATGGTTCAATTGGCTAGAGAACGAGGCTTATTAATAATTACTGCTGGAAATAATACTATTAGAATTATACCTCCGTTGATATTGACAAAAGGAGAGGCTGAAAAGGGTGTAACAATTTTGGAAGAATGTTTGAAAATTTTTGAGGAAGAATGTAATTAAAATAATGTGATTATCCTTATTATTCTTTATTTTGGATTTATTTTTATCAGGTTATGAACATTAGGTTTTTATTTAGAATAATTTAAATAGAATCTTTTTTTATAGAAACATAACTTTTAAATTAATAAATTTAAATTCCTATTCTAGTAAGACTAATGTAATTCGAAATTTTATATTGCAAATCTTTCCAAATTAAGTAACAGCATAAACGTCTACTCAACTTTTGTAAACATTTTCCTTTTTTTTTTTTTTAGAAAAAAAAAAAAAAGAAAAAAAAAAAAACAGCAATTTTTATTAATACAAGTATGATACAGCAAAACCAAGACCAAAACTTTTAAAAAGTGATCTCTATGACACTGTTTAATAGGTTTTTTTGTTGACTTAAATATAAAACATAAGAAAAGAAGGAAAAATCGCATATACCAAACGAATAACAAGTTGAAAAGAAATATTGAATAAAATGTTATGAACATCTTTTAACAACAATATCTACAGCTTTTTTTTTTTTTTTGTTATAAACACTCTTTGTAAGAAGCTATTTTCTTCAAATACAAAAAATTGGTTAACCAAGATGAGATTGTAGTTGATAATCGGCCATTGCCTATAAAAATAATTCACAATAAAATAATAAAATAAAATAAGAATTTTTATAACAATAAATTACAATCAGCAATAAACGAAAAACACTTACAACCGAGTTCAAATTTAATTGATCAGATGAATCCATGTGCGCAATAGTAATATAAAAGGATTTTTCTAACTTGTAGACGGTGTCACCGTGATAATAATTAGCAATTGCAGTTATTTCACAGTTTTCAGCATCTATTCCTGGAGTACCAGTGAGGACATTATTCTCCCATCTAAGCCAATCTGGTAACCACGGAGAATGAAACACTGCTTTAATTGCTATAAAATTATAAAATAGAACATTAAACATAGTCATAATTAGATTTAAATTAAATTTAAATTATGAAATATATATATATATATATGTATATTAACAGAATTCTTACATTTAACATTTACTTGTGGATCCCAAACTCTAGGCGCATAAGTATACTTTACACCAACATAAGCAATTTTATCCGGAATTCCGGCAATTTTACGAGTAAATTCGCGGAATACCCAACCACCACTTGGTGTCTTTTTTGCTTCAATATTCCATACGTGATTACCCTTGGATTTAGCTTTTTTACCATCTTCATTAAATCGAGAAATGTATCTGTAAAAGTAAAGAATTTCCATTAACATTAAATAAAATATATACACACATACAATTTTCAAAATAAAAATATACCTTTGTGTCCATAAATAATTTTTAACTTTTCTCAAGGGTAAAATTTCCTCGGTATATCCATGACGAAGTAATTCTTCGTGAAAAGCATTAGTGAAAGCTTGTATTCGGAATTTGAAAGGACGAAAATCGGGGGACTCATCCAATTTTTGCATTTTCTTAGCCATCAGAGTTTGATGACTATGAAAATAATATATTTAGAAACATGTCAGTAAGATAAAATTAATTAAAATTAAATTAAAATGATATAAGTAAGTTATACGCACATTTGTTCACCTTTAGAATCGGTCGCATTCACTATATAATAAAATATATATTAATAATAATATCAATCGTATGACACAAATAATGAATTAATTAAAGATATTTACGATCTGAGCAAATTGTTTGTAAAAAATTGATAAAAATGTCATCAAGATGTTTCAAAAGTACAGGATCTAATGGAGCATGTGTATGAGTACGAGGAGCACTAGGAAGTACACCAGCAGGTGCATAAACTGGTGGAGGAGGCTAAACAGAATAAAATAAATGAAAATAATTATTAATGATATTATCAATTTAAAAAATACAAATGAAACAGGAAATACCTGATTTGTATAGGGATCATTTGTGACATTTGGTACATTTGGTACAGTTGGTAGTTCACGAACATTCACTGAATATACTTCGCTAGTAATTGTAGGTGTATCCTCCACATTGGTTTTGATAGCTTTTTTTGGTTTTTCATATTTTCCTTGAATGGTACGCTAGAACATACAACAAATATATAAAAAAAAATTTTTTAATAACAAATTTTAACGAATGACCTTGACCACCATAAATTCAATAAATACCTTGGCAGACTTAACGGTATTAGCCACCAACGGTTCCACAGCCACAGGGGCAGCGGCCGGTTGTGGTTGAGGAGTAGTAATTGATGGTGTAAGTTGCTTTTATGAAAAAATATGTATAGTTAAAATAATCCAAAAGAAAAAATTTATAACAAAATCATCGCAATATCTACCCTAATGTTCTAATGAAAAAATGGAAAATTTTTAAATCCTTATTCCCTATTACATAAATAGAAAAAAAGAATAATATGACACAAACCAGCTCGGCATATTTAGATTTAAAGTCTTTTAAAAGGTTTATTGTTTTTGATATTTCTTCAAGACGATTAAAAGCTTCACTTTCAAACCCACGCTCAAATTGATCTTTAGCTTCTTGAGCATTCAAAAAGATACTGAATCAATCAAGAACATATGACAATTTTTGAGTAAAGTTTACTAAGAAAAAGGTATAGTTTCAAAATATATGTACAGTGCAAGAATGTCAAAACTCATTTAACAAGACTCCGGATATACAGGACACAATCTTTACAGAAAAAACCTTCAACCATTGACGCAAAGTATAAAAGGGATGCCATACCTTTCAAAAAGTTGGGTCAAATTCATTTTTAATATGTTAGTCAGTAGTGGGGTGGTTTCTTTGGGGTGGGGACAGTGAGGGACGCTTTAAAAAAGAAGGCCTCTCGAAAGAGGGGCTTGAGAAAAAGATGATTTTGGAAACCAAATTAGCCATCGATTTTATTGAATTTAATTGAAATAAGTCATGTGAATGCAGAAATGATGCAACATCACCTGACATGAAAGTCATATTACCATCCTGGTCAATCTCATTTGTTAGAGATTCTAAATATAAATTTAAGATTTGCACCACAAGATTTAGGGAATTTGGGCTTGGCACATTCATCTATTTATAGTAATTCTTCGTAATTCTGGGGTAATTAATCTAGTTTAAATTTGGGGGAAATCATTTTTCTTGTCTTCTTTATTAATCAATTGTAAAAAAAAAAAAAAAAAAAAATAAGGGTATTGCTTTTTTAACAGTTAAATGCGTTGAAAGACTTACAACAGTTTCGTTCGCATTTAGCATAGAAGTAATATTTTCGTTTTACGTATGCACGATTCCCTCCTTTTTTGATATGCATTTACCAAATAATAACATTGGCATTTTTTTTTTTGTTTTTTAGACATATAAATGTGTCAAAATGAACGTATATCATATATCTGATATACATACAAAAGACAAAGTTAACTGTTAACGGTATTTCAATGCTAAATTACGTTTGTGTGACCAATTATTTTCATTGTTTGCATAATATGGCTACATACGGATGCAACAATAACGATAACATAATAACATAATTTTGAAACAAAATAGGTAACCATCTTTGTTTCAAAAAACAAAAATAGAACTCAACTTCATTGATCCTTTTTTACATATAGCTATATATATACCTATCATTCCATTTTCTTCCCTCACTTAGTCTAAAAAAAAAAAAAAATCGCGCAACATCTTTTATCACTATATATACCTATATATCTGGAAATTATCCATCATAAATCATACAGTACAATAAAAATGAACAGTCTTCGAAAACTAAATAGTTTTATTCGTGCCAAAAAATATAAACGGAAAATTCGAAATTGTGTTTATATTTATACACCACTACCTAATAACAAATTTGGATATATAATAGAATATAGGCGACCTGAATTTAGCGAAGTATTCTATTATAAATATAAAAAAAATGCTGATGACACTTTAACAAAGTACGGATACTTGATTTCTGACCCTGGGATAGGTTTTGGTCACAATAATAGTAATCGTACGAAAAATCAAGAAAATAAAGGAGGACTTTGGGCAAATAAAGATAAAGATTGCATTTTTTATCAAACCGTTGCTGATAAAACACAAATTGAACTCGAAAACCGTTGGATGAACGAAATAAGAAAAAAAGGTCGTTTGGAAATTTATCAGAATGATGATGAAAATAATCGCAATGAATGGGTTGATGTAATGCAACATAATAATAAAATTTATATTTGTGATAACATACAACGTCGAAGAATTGCTGAAGTTTTAGAAAAATATAATAATAATTGTATTAATGACAATCTATCGACTTCTCAAGATTTTGTCAAGGATCAGCCTCATTTGGAAACTGTAGGCAATATTGAAGATCGTCGTCGATTGAGAAATGATCCTCCTCCTCGACCTACATGTATGACTACACCTTCAGATAATGAACCATCTTCTGATGCTACTAGTGAATTTTCACCTCCTATTACTCCAACAACTCCCCCATCCTCTCCAAGTGAAGCGTACTCAGCTGTTAAGCCAAATGGTTTATTGAATATGAATATAAGACAACGCCATCAAAGAACATCGTCCAAAGATAGTACAAAAAACATTTCTTTAAAAAATAGTCAACCTATTAATGTTATCAAACCTCAAAAAGTTGTTCATTTATCACATCCTAAGTTCAGTAGAAGACCTCCTCTGGTACATATCTTTGATCCGGATGATTCTTTGATTTTTAAAAATTGTAAATGTGAACATTGTATTATTGGTCAATATAATGAGTAATTATTCCTTTACAAAAAAAATATGGGTTTTTTTTTTTTAAATTACACAAAATCTTCTTGTGGTACAAATTCTATATTTTCCGCAAACTGTAAATAATAAAAAGATACTGAGTATCTTGTCATTGTCATCCAACATGTTATTTCATGCGATTTTGATTATAGTATATACTGTAATAAAAAATAAAAAATTATTTGTTTTATAAACATAAATACAAAATTTTATAAAGAAAATCCTACAATTAGAAATTTTTCAAATTGTCCAATTATTAATTTTTTTTTTTTTCCTCTTTTTTTTTTTTTTAAAAAAAAAAAAAAAATATTACAACCATCTATCATAAATCTCTCAATCTATCAAACTCAATAGTCTCCCATAAATTCTTTACAAGCTTCGTATGTTACAAAACTTACACTAATAGCTGGAGCCACTTTTAAATAATTTGGTACCATCCCTTTATATAATCCACGGATCCCTTCATCTTTCAACAATTGCATTAGCGCATCCCATGTATTCTTATATTTATATTCTAACTCTTTCATCCCTGTTACTTGCATTCTTCTCCTTAATACATCTAGTGGATACGTTATTGTCTGTGCAAATGATCCTGCTAACGCTCCACATAAAAGTTTTTGTGCTACCGGTGGTGATGTTTGATCAACTGGTGTAAAATATTTACGCAGTACTTCATATGAATGGAAATTAAGTGCTACATATGGTGCTACTCCCTATAAAGTTAAATAATTTTATATTAGTATAAATCTTTCGTCATAATCAAATATATTTTTTTAATTTAATATTAATCTTTTATATTTATTACCAACAAGGTTGGTCCCAAGCCACGATATAATGCCAAAATACCGCCCTCCGAAATATAAATTATCCTCATTGTTGACGCGATACCTGGTAACTTTTTCTGTCCTTCATTACCTGATAAACTTGCTGATTGAACTGAAAGCCTTGTTCTTACTATATCTAATGGATATGTACATGCGACTGATGTTATACCCGCTAATGCTCCCGCTGTAAGTCGTCGTGGTGCATCTAATTCTGTTTTTCCTTCTTCTAATAAAAGCTTATTAAATCATTCGTTTCATATAAATAATTAATAATAATTAATTCTTAATATTTAATTAATATTCCCTTTTATATATATCACTTTTCTTATATTTATAATAATTAATATACTCACTCTTTTATATTTTTCATAAGCTGCAAATTGCGTCGCACTATAAGGAACTATTCTAACAATATTCGTTCCATTTCCCCTTAAAAATCCAATTATCCCTTCCTCACGCCACATTTTTGCTAATGTGGGGCCAATTCCATTATAAGCTGCGTTTACTCCTTGTATCTATATTATATTACGATTTCAATTTTTTATATTTGTTGTAAACTTTGTCTATAAACTATTCTGACATACTTGAAATAATATCTTCATTCTTTCTAAAGGGCTTACAACCGTTCTGCTTACGGCCCCTGCAATTCCTCCCTAGATTAACAGATCAAAAAATAAAAATAAAAAATAAAAATAAAAAAAAAATAAAAATGTTAACTACTTCTTTTTACTAAAATATTCAAAAAATACAATTTACTTGTTTCAATTTGAATAAAATCTACCGCGATCAGATGTTTTACTGCTGGTGATAGAATAAACGTCCAAGGTCTATGTGCCAAGTGAGTTTCCCTCTCCTGAGACTTGAGTGAGGCCGAACTGCTTTCAGACACACTAGATATCCACCCTGTGAAACTTGAATCCGATGCTTGGTCAACGCTACCATCTTTTTCATTATAAATACTAGTATGTTTACTATTACTATTAATATCATTCGAATGTATGAACATTGTGAGGTAATTTTGTAAATGAATGAGCGAGATAAGTAAATTATTGATCATGTGACTAGGCTTATTTTTATTGGTTTGAATACAATCATGTGAAGTTACATGATACATATCAGTAAAAGTCTTGTATATTACGATAATATATATCTATCTTTAATAGCATATCTAAGTTTATGAGAGAGAAGGATCGATGGTCTTTAATTTATGTGCTGTTACTCGATTAAATGTATCTAAATCTGTTAAATCACTATCGTGTAACTATATTGCATGAATGTCTCTTATTTTATTGTTACTATAAATAAATAATTAGCTGTTAAATATTAAAAATTGCAAAAAAAAAATAAAATATTACATAATTTAACAAATTTATATTTATTTTTACATATCGATATTACTTATTTAAATATTAATAAATCAGTGATGACGAAAGGCTTATCATATGGGCGGATTGAACGCATTTTACTAATGTGACAATCTGTGATGATCTGTGATTATCTATTAATTTAGCCAATTAAATTGATTGTTTTTACATTTTTACTAATATTTAATTTCCTATTTTGGAAATTGCACTCCGGTTGCACTCTGATCTAAAAAGGAAAAAAACTTTTAAGCTATATATTTTTGTATTATCTTGATTATTGTGATTAATAATATATTAATAATTATGATTTTATCACATGTAAAATGATCTACAAATGCGTCGAATCCGCCCATATGAAATCAATCTTCTTTATTCAAATTATCTATCGATTATTTAGAAAAACAAGCCCTATCACAACTCTATTCAAACCTCTACTATAATAACCTACCTAATTATTAAGTACAAATTCCTATTTTTAACTTAATTACTGAACAAATTAAAAATATTGTTTAATATACTCATACCAAACAGAATTGATTAGTTTATATAACCACCTCAAAACATTACCTTCAAACAATTTACACTTCTTTTCAAATGCAACAATTATAAATTTACTAACACCAAGCATTGTTGCTGATTTAGGTTGGATGCTAGAAAAAAACTCACAAATCAAATTCAATGCAGCCTTTTAAGATATTCAAAATATTATCTATGCAGAAACTAAATCTATCCTTTTTCTTCTTCTTATAATACAATATACATATATATACAAATAACTCTTCTATAATTCAAAACCTTCAAAACCTCTCTGACTACCAAACCTTTCAAATTAAAAATTCTAACTAGGATATTTTACATGCTATTAATTTTCTATTAACAAACTATAATATTAATATTACCCTACACAAAACTAAATTATAAAATAATATATTTCAAAATGCTAGCTTATTAGTGAAAATAGCTACAGTTAAAAATAACATACAAATAGATTTTAACTATTTCACAACTCCTCTCTTTTTCTTATGAAACCTTTTAAACTCAATAAATTCATAAAAACTACTCTTAATCTTCAAAATATTAATTGTATTCTCCAACTAAAAAATCTAACATCTATACCTAAACTTAACATCTAACTTTTTCTCAATATAATTAACTCTCAAAATTACAACCTTTACTTTTACTCACTACGAATTAAAATTAAATTAAATAATTTGCAAACTATGGAGAATTTAAATCTCTGTTATCTTACTTTATATGTAATATTAACTGCACAAAAAGCAATCAATTAGAAAATACCTTACACTTATTCAACTATCCAAAATCCAAAATTAATATAACTCAAACTCTCTTAAACAACATAGTTCTAACTAAACAAAAACTATATATTGAAAATATTCTTGCTCAAACCCTACTAAAAATAATTCTAAAACCCTTTTACCACCCTGCTTTTCTATTTCTATTAATTATCCAAGGCACAATTGTACCTAATATATTTGAACTACTATTCAACTTTTAAAAAGTAATACTATAAACTTTATTACTTTACTTTTTAACAACCTTTTAAAATAGTTTTTAAAAGATATTTGGCTAGCAAAAAATGAATTACAACACAAATGGGAACTAGCTTGTGGCATTATTTTTAAAACTAAACAAAAGAAATTATACTTTACACAAAACTCCTCTTGTCTCAAATCTTCAACTCAATTTAACAACAATATAAATTCTTATATCTTAAATAGTATCTTCAAAACTATACAATCTATCTTGCTTTTACTAATTGACTTTTCTTTTTTCTTTTTTATTTTTATTTTTCTTTTAGTCTTATCTTTTATTCTATTATATACTTCAAATTATTATTCTTTTTATATACATTTTCTTTTTTACTTCACTTTTTTTAAATTCTTTTTTAATTTTTTTTTTAATTACTATTCTGCTTTTCTATCTTGAATTAACCAATTAACTATCTACATAGACTTAGGTTACCTCTAGCCTTCTAAAGCTAACAAAAATCAACTAGTTAGCTTATAAATAAAAAAATAAGTTGTATTATGCCACACAAAATTCAGTAGCAATCTAGGTTGTGAGTAATAGTATTGCTTATTGTGTTAAATACTATGTGATTAATTAGGAATTTGTATTTAGCTTAATTTTATATTATTGTGTATATTATCTTTTATGCTATTTTATTTCCAATTTGGCATTAATAAAGGGTGAAAAAAAAAACCAAGCAAATATTTTTTAATAAATTTTTTTAAAATTTTAAACAAGATTAACTTAACAAAACTTGATTAAATTTAATAAATTTTTTTTAAATTAATTTTAAAAGTTTGTAAAAATTATTTAAAAAAAATTTATTAAATTTGGTCAAGTTTTGGTTAAATTATTTTTGTTTAAAGTTATAAAAAAAATTTATTATATAAATTTGCTTGATTTTTATTAACTTACTTCTATATTTTAATTTTGGCTAATATTACTTTAGTAAAATTATAATTGTTGTCTTTAATCTTTATAAATTTAATATAGTTTATTTTAAAGTAGTCTTAATAAGTAAAAATTAATAAAGCAAAAAAAAATATTTTTGTTAAATTATATATTGCTAAAATTATACTTAAATAAGACAAACTACTTTTTTATACTCTTGATTTGTAAATTTTTAAATATTTAATATTTAATATTCTATAAGTTTATAGTAAATATTTTAGTAATATTATTACTAAGCCTATTGTTATATAAATAAAATAATTTTTTATTTTATTTGTTTGTTTCAAAAAAAATTTTTCTTCTTTGCAAAATCTTTCAATTT